CCTGTGCTGCTTGCTCAGCTGCTGGTGCTGGAGGTGTGTGTTCTGCTAGTGGCGCTGCTAAGTTGCCAAGTGTTCGACTGGGTGCCTGCGCTGCTTGCTCAGCTGCTGGTGCTGGAGGTATGTGTTCGGCTAGTGGTGCTGAGCTGCCAAGTGTTGGAGTTGGACTGGCAAACTTGTTTGCATGCAGAAACTCAAGCCACTCTTTGAGAGCTTCGCCAGGGTCTTCACAAGTAGGATCTCCCCAAGTGCTGCCATAATCTTCACCATATTTGTTTTTTGATTCACCATAAAAGCCGCAAAATGTGGGCTGGATTTTGCCCTGGCAACCTCAGCATCAATGTTTACATCATCATCCGCAAACAAATCATCGAGGTCGTCTGGCAAGTTCATGTAGTCGATGAAGGAGGCTGCTGGGGCCATTGAAGGTTGTAGAGAACCTGGTGCTTCCTGTTGCTGCTGCTCTGGCTGTGTCTGCTGAATCTGCTGATCATGTTGTACTCCAGCTGGTTGTGTTGCTTCAATGGCAGCTGTATGTGTTGGTGGTGTCTCATGCTGCGGCGGTGTCGGTGATGTATGCTGCGCTGCATACGCTTCACTCTGAAGTGCTGGAGTCGTTTCTTCAGCCGATGGCATGGTTTGGTTGGCCTGCTTGGCAAGTTTGTTCTTCAGAAGAAAGAGCAACCAGTCTTTGAGTGAAGCCTGAGGGTCATCAGAATCAGGATCGCCCCAAACCAAAGTGTCGTCTTCATCATAGTTCAAGCCATGCTCCACATTCATGAAATGCAGAAATGCACCAAAATGGGTGTGTGCTCTCGCTTTGGCAACCTCAGAGGCAAAGTCTACCCGATTTGGTCCTGGCACATCAGCCAACAATTCATCAAGGTCGTTTGGCAAGTTCATGTAGTCAATGACAAGGTTGCCAGTTGGCTGTGGTGGGGAAGCGGTCGTTGATGCAAATGCCTTGGCAATTGCTGAGTCATTTGCCGTGGACTTTGTGGCAGTGGCTGCACCAACCATAGCAACTAGAGCATCAGTTGCTTTTGCAATCTCTACTTCAGGTGCTGCTGCTGTTGGTGGGTCCTCATCCAAACTGCTCACCACCATCTGGTCCAGCTGGTTGAACTGGTTGTCATGGAGCTCTGCCTTAGCCACCAGGCCCAGGCTGTCATACTCGTCCTTGGGGCGCGTGAATGCAGACCCAGTCTGCCCAGCCTTGGTGAAACCACGCGTGTCAGTGAGTGTCAATGTTTGCGATCATATATAATATGCATACTGTACCAATACAAAAGCCCAACAAGCTTAGACATATTCAATTCTATCAATTTTTTTAACAATAATATCAAAAAATGATAACAACTACAACATTAAAAAAAAACAACACCATTAACAAAAACAATAACAACGACAACAACACAACAGTTATAGCCATTGCAACCAATGAGCGTGCGAGGCAATAGCAAGTCTAGCCAAATATGCATCAACACAGCTAGCGAAATCATAACCCAAGGAAATTGGCCACAATCCCTGTCCCTGTCCAGGCCCGTATCTCATCATCTCCAGATCTTGCTGAAAATTAGCATCATTTGCTTTTGAAGTAATGTTGGCCCTCATACGCTTGTTCCGCAATGGTGCTCTCCTGTAAGTTTTTAATGTCAATGAACGTAACGTGACCAACAAACCTTTGGTTCGTGCTGATGTTGTTTTCTTGCGCTGAGCAACATCACCGTCTCCAGCTGCATCAATTTGCCTCTTGCGCCCAGAGCTGGGTTGATCCACGGGTGTGGTTGATGATGTGGATTCCGCCGGAACTTCCTGCATGGATTCCGCCGGAACTTCCTGCATGGATTCCGCCAGAGCTTCCTGCGGGAACACACATGCTTGACAGAGCTTGCACCTATGCACGATGTTAACTCAATGATTATTTTCTGATTAATTAATCACTAAAAAATACAACAAAAAGATAACAACTATTATTTTTAATGTTAGTAACCACATATAGAAATAGGAGAACAAATGTAAGTGGCCACCATTACCTAGGGCATGCATTGATTAATTATATAGACTAGTTTTCATGTCGGATCACCAACCCCCAACCACATCCTCTTCGCGTAGAACTGCATCCCGATAATCTTGCCACCCTTGATGACTGGTCTCGATGTAGGAAACCATGGCTTGCACACCAACGCTCCTTGGCATGTGTGTTTTGTTTGCACGAGGCAAAGTGCAAGACTAAAGAATAAATGCACAAAAAGCAACCATCAAATTCATCATCCAACAGTAATGAACATCAGGTATCACATATATTATCACCACCAGCCCCAGCCACCACCAAAATCAATAGATAATAGATTCAGCATCCAAGCATCTGAGGAAAGAAATGCATATTTTTCTTGAGTGCGCGGAAACTTGGGTAGTCAAGAAAATTTGAGCAGACCCTGTACATGAGGTTGTTGGCAACAAGTGCCTTCTCTGCAAATATGAAGCCGGCTGGACAATACACTACCTTAGGTGGACAGTGCTTCATCAGTGCTCTTACGTCTCCAGATATCATAGCTCTAAGCAACATGTTCAACATGTAGCTTTAAAAAAACACTATATTTCCAAGTTGCGTCTCCGGGGTTTACCCAAGCAGTGCAAAACGATTCCATGGTACCAAAAGTCTCCATGGTTGTCTGCTCAAAGTCCTGCACCGCTTTCACATAGATGTTGCAGAGCTGTCCAGGGTTGGCATCAGCAGGTGTGTCTGCAGGTAGCACCTTGAAATTGAAGCACAATCGATATCACATGGTGACGGATGCATGACACTGAACCCCTTGACCATTAACCCCAGTGAGTGTGCTCCATGTCAATTTCAATTGTCAATTCTATGTTTGTGTAAACTGAATACTCATATAATGTCAAACAAGGCACATCATCAATTGAAACAAACGCAACGGCCCTTGTACCTTCCAGCTGGTAAGTCACGAATGGCCACAACCCTTGACACACGCCACTGAATGTCTTGCCATGTTGGAACCCGACCATATGCAGCTTGCTCCATGTGCAGATCTCAGAAGCACGGGATTGAGCAGAAGATGCATCAGCCACATCAAGGTCTGCCTTTGTCTTCTCAAGGATTGACTGCAAGACCTCTTCCTCCATGACTGCACACGGGTGAGGCATATCAATTTCATTTTCTTCATTGGGTGCCAATCGTGTCTCCAACATGGCCTTCAAGACAGAATCCATTCGC